ATTATTTATTTATTTATTTATTTTTGGTCTTTTTGAGACAGGGTCTCCCTGTAGCTACAGCTGGCCTGGAACTCATTATGTAGACCAGGCTGGCCTTGAACTTACAGAGATCTGCTTGCCTCTACCTCCTCAGTACTGGGATGAAAGGTGTGTGCCACTATGCCCAGTTTTATTTTTTTATTTTTATTTTTATGTGTAGGAGTGTTTTACCTGATGTATGCAAATGCACCACGTGTATGTAATGCCCATGGAGACCAGAAGAGGGCATCTAATCCCCTGAAACTGGAGTTATGGATGGTTGTGAACCACTATGTCGGTGCTAAGAACGAAACCTGGGTCCTTGGCAAGAGCAGCCAGTGCTCCTAACAGCTAAGCCATCTCTCCAACCCCTCTCTTGGCTTTTTGACCTGCAGTAATTAGTATGGTGGGGCTTCACTATTTGCCCAGACGTTTTCTTAGGAGGAATGCCTAACAATGGATCTGTGTGTGAGACTGTACACCTAATCAAAGCTCCATGCATCTGGCAAGACCACCCACTGGCAAGGTCATCAGTACACAGCCCATCAGTGGTGGTGACCAGAGAATCTTATCACTGTGGCTCCCACACATGGCAAGACATAAGCCCCATCATGATATTTAGACAGAAGTTTGTTCAAAAATGAGGCCCACGGTTATGTAACTTTTTTACAATCACAGCTCCCATTCAGGCCACTAGCCCAGTGTGTGTTCATATGCGTGTATGTGTGTGGAGGTCAGAGGTCAATCTTGGGTGTCTTTCCTCAGGAGCTGCTCACCTTGTCTTCTAAGGGAGGGTCTCTCACCGTCCTGGAGCTTGCCACGTAGGCTAGGCTGACTGATCAGCACATCCCCAGGGATCCTCATGTCTCCACCTCCCCAGTGCTAGGATTCCAAGCACACACCACCATGCCTGGCTTATTTTTACATGGCTTCTGGTGATGCCACTCAGGTCCTCATGCTTGCAAACATGTTTGTAAGACTTTACTCCCTGACTCCATATTTAGTAGTGTTTACGGGAGCAAAAGGACAAGATCAGAGAGGGGAAAGTTGAATTTGCAGGTCTTGTTATAAACCTCTGTGCTGGATAGCTTTAGTGTCAACTTGACACACCTGGGTTGAGGGAGCCTCAATCGGGGAATTGCCTCTATTGGACTGGCCTGTGGCCATGTCTGAAGGGCATCTTCTTGATGAGTGATGTGGGAGGGCCCAGCCCACTGAGGGTGGTGCCACCCCTGGGCAGATGGGCCTGTGTTGCATAAGAAAGCAGGCTGAGCAGGAGCCAAGGTAGCAAGCCAGTAAGCAGCGTTCCTCCATGGCCTGTGCTCCAGCTCCTGCCTCCAGGTTCCTGCCCTGAGTTCCTACCTTGGGCTCCCTGATGAACTGCATGCGACCTGGGAGATGTAAGACAAATAAACCCTTTCCTCCCCAAGTTGGTACTGGTCAGAGTGTTTTGTCACAGCAATGAAGAACAAACTAAGACAACCTCCAAGAGTGAAAATAGGAAATCTGCATCCTGCCCAGAGCTGATGTAAAGACACCACAGGCCCCTTTTCACTCCAAAAGCTTCAATAGAGACTTCCACCACAGACTGCCTGCCAGCCTTAGTTTCCCTTGAAAAGGAAGATTGTGTCATTTCTAAGCCACATTAAAGTTACATTTGAATAAAGAAGCAGCCTGGCTCTTGGCATTTAGTCTTAAGGTCAAGAGTGGACCTGAACTCCGAGAACAACCTGTTCCTTCGGATGTCTTTCTGGACTGTGGTGTGGAGATGTGCTTCACTTTTATTGAAGCAGTGTTTCTAGCATCAGCTGGGGAAATAGAAGCTGGGGTCTACCCTTATCAGAGAGCCCTGCCCTTTGCTCCCTAGGCCTAGAATATCTCACACACACACAGACTTCTCAATCATTCTCACTGTTTACAATGAGAATATGCTGCTTTCAGCACTTTGATAATGTTAAACAAGCACACTGACATCAGTGCTCTATCTTGGATGTAGGGCAAAGTGGGGTCCTGAGGGATTAGGGTCTTATGCCTGGGTCACAAGAGGAGCACATGGGTCTGTGAGCTTGTTTACATTCTAAAGAGTAAGGTTAAGTAGAAGTCTTTAGGCCAGATTGTGTCCATATGGTAAAAGTGATTCCTACAAAAAAATCTCCCAGCATTTTATTAGATATAAGTTCTCTAGTGTGTTCATCAGTTCCGGTGACAGGTAACATCAGCATGGCTGTTCTTGATATTACAAATGAGCCATAGCTGCCCCACTGTTTTCACGTCAGGCAATGGTTACCATCTTTAAGGATAGCTGTGAGGTTATTTCAGTTTCAAATCTATCACAAGATACAATGGGCTTAACTGAAAATCATCATTTTTAAAATCTTGTCGGTCTTGTCATCACTGTCTGGGAGCTAATGGCTGGGCTTGCTGCTGAGTGAGGAGAGGTTGAAACCCTCCTCAGAAGGTGTGTCCTCCAGGGACCAACTTGGCTGTGGTTCATCTTCATGTGAGCAATTAGAAGTTCTGTGTTTAGAATCCACAGGTGTGGGCAGGCT